ATATATATATATATATATATATATATATATATATTATATATATATATCCATATGTATATAAATAGATAGATGAATACACTCACACATGTATGGGAGTACCTACCTATTTCTCTTTCTCTTTTTTCCTCTTCCTCCTCTCTCTCCCTTTTCCCTCTTCCCCTATCTCTCCCTCCCCTCTCCCTCTCCCTCTCCCTCGCTCGCAGATCACCGAATATTCCCAAACTTTGGGCATAATTTCATTCGTGCATCTATCATCCTTTTTTTCAAAGATACAACTCATATATGGAGATCGCGTTATCGGATTTCATTATCATTATCATAATCCAGCTCTTCTAATAGAAGTTAAAGTCAGAGATTCGCATTTTATCTCGATTTATAATTGAAAGGCTGTCGTTAATTCTTCCTAACATTAGCATAATTGAAATCATCATATTCATATATTTTGCTTTAATTGCGTTTTTTGTGTCATTAGTGATTAGCTAATCGTGAAGTGATTTCTAGGTTTCGCTTATATAGATATGTATAATTTTTTATGCAGAATTATTTTGTGCAATGGTGTCCATAAGCCAAAAGTCATCCTGCTTATCAATAAAATATATTTTATCAATATTCTTAAAAATGACGCCCAATGATCTTCATATGTTACTTAAATCATATTCCTAGCTTTTGTTGGCGAAATAACGTGACATTTCTCTACCGCAACCAAGCCAGATATTCCTAGGAAGAAGCAACATCACAACCACAGTATAATTTGCAGTGAAAATAGTATTAATAAGAATAGGCAACTTCAAAGCACAGGAGATGCACTTGACGCGTTTTAATTAAACTTTCCTCAGAAATAAAAGTGAAATATATTCTTATTCATACTCTTTTTTTTCTACATTTGATATCATATTTTCCTCTCTCTCTAAATTACATTTTCGCATCCTTTCAGTTCCTAAGTTCCAATCCGAAGGCTTAATCCATGGGATTTTGCCCCTTCACGACTACGAGAAGCTGGAGGCGCTGAGGGTCACGTGGGTTCAGACTTTCTTCAAGTACCAGCCTATTGGTGAGTAGACGGGTATGGGGGGGGGTATGAGGGTGAGAAGAGGGGTATCAAGGGCGGGGCTGGGGTGCACGTGGGGGGAGGAGGGGGGGGGAGGGATCGTCAAAGGGGTGTTAGCTTTGTTTGGTAAGTTTGATTACGTGTAGGAGGTGAAATAGGGATGTTTTGGAATGTGTGTATCTGTATGTGTGTAGGGGGGGGGGGGGTAGAGACAATTGGGTGTGTGTGTGTGTGTGTGTTTTTGGAGGAGATTGCGTGTGGAGAAGGTGGGGGCGGGCGGTTGAGAATTTCTGAGGGACGGGAAGCTGTATGCGTGTGTGTCAGTGGACGTTCTTATGTGAACACGTCTTCGAAAATATATATTGACTACATACGTAAAGATTCGTGTATAGATAGACACACAATACAGCTATTTCATAACATACCGTATCATACCATTTCTACATCACATATACTATCCCTTTCTCTCCCCACAGAGGCGATCCAGCAATATTTCGGCTCCAAGATCGCCATCTACTTCGCCTGGCTCGGGCACTACACCACGGCCCTCACAGTGCCAGCCTTCATCGGCCTCATCTTCTGGGTAGAGTCACCTGGCGCTTGGAGGCCGGCCTTGAGTTTTTGCTTTGGTTATGCTTTGAATATTGAAGTATCTGTTTTAGGAATATTAGCGCACCATATATATATGTATATATATATATATATATATATATACTATATATATATATATATATATATATATATATATGTATATATATATATATATATATATATATATATATATATATATATATATATATATATATATATATATAGTATATATATGTATATGTATATAAACATAAACATATATATATGTATATATATATATATATATATATATATATATATATATTATGTTTATATCTACACAGACACACACACACACACACACACACACACACACACACACACACACACACACACACACACACACACACACACACACACACACACACACACACAGACACACACACACACACAGACTTACATTTATATAAAAAACATACGTATACATGTATCCACACATGCCAAAGAGGAGAACATCCAAAAGAAACGCATTATTTTTACAATTTGCGAAAATCCCGAATGGTTTAATATATCTTGATATTCCATTGCCATTTAGTAGAAAAACGTTTTCCTTTGGCAACGGCAACGGCCTCACATAAACCAACAAAGTAATTAACGATATCCGAAAAAAAGAGAATGAAAAGAACCAATATTATATTTTTCTTTTTGCCGTTGTTGTTGGTTTTGCCATCTCCTCTGTAATCATTGTTCCACGCTAATTGATAATAACAGGGATTCTTTATGGATATTGTCCGTTCGGTAACGAAAAATTGGTACTGTTGTGTGCGGTTGGGGAGGAATGAATTTTAATTTTGGGTCGGATGAGTAATCTAGTATTAACCA